GAAAGAGTAAGAAAAAGTGTTCAGATCTAACTCTAGAAGAAATGAAAAAACAGGCTGCTGTCCAGTGTCTTCGATCTGCTTCTGATGAAGTAAGTTTACATCTTATTTCTAATACTTACAAGGAGAAAAAAAGAGGGAGGTGTTTTTAAAAAGTTTACAAATATAACATCTTGACCAAAAAAGACTTAGAAAAATTAACTACTCATTATCTTACCACTGTAACATAAACAAACATTATCACTTTTTCCTTTAACGTGTTTTAAATATATATATTGAATTTTATGTAACATATTTTTAATAGGTATTATCGTAATTAGACTATGCACAAAATTTTATGTTTTTTCCCCATTAACATATTTCATCTTGTTACTATATTATTTTTATTCTTTTTAGTGGCTGAGTTATATTTAATCAAATAATATTCCAACAGCAATATCATATACTCTTTATTACTAGGTATTTAGCTTACTCTTGATTTTTCGTTATCATTTCTAGGATATTTTCACGTGTGGCTTTTTCCATGGTCTATATTATTTCTTTTGGATACATTCCCAGAAGTAGGAAAGCAGTTCTAACAATTTAAGAACACTGTATTTTCTTCTGATTTATAATTTTTAGTTTGTATTTTAGAAAATATAAGATTATTTTATTTTTTAACACTTTATGTACTTTAGCATCCCGAAATAACAAAATAGTTTTAGAATATGACATCTGCTGAAGTTAATACTATGAATTTTTATTTTGCTGCTCACTATAAGATGTGATCTCCGAGATCATAACTACTTAGAAAATCATTTTGCTTTTACTGTGCAACTTGAGGTAGTGTGTCTTACAGACCTCTATAATGCAGAGTTAAGTTGAGAGAGTCATGCAGAGTATCTAGAGAGGTTCCTGACATCCAGAAACTTCCTTCCGGAACCCAGTCATCTAGTGGTCTGATGTCGGGGTAACCAGCTTTGCTACATTGGACGATCCAGAAGTGATTCTGTCTGCCGGCCACCTACCACGTGTGCCTTTTCCCAGCCGTGTCTCACCCTGCCGAGGGCCACGTGCGAGGGCCGACCCCGCCGCTCGGGCCGCTGGTGTCTGGTCTCTGCTCCCACCTGGACATGCACCCTCACAGTTGCAGTGGTTCTGTCTGCCCGCCGGTGCCGCCCGTGCTCCTGGGCCGGACTGTGGGTTGCCCATCTTCATCTCCTGGTGTCCACCCTGATTTGTTAAGCTGCAGGGAAGGGACAGAGCAGCCTGGCAGTCCCCTCGGTCCCCTCCCACAGCAAGCGCTGTGAGTGATGAGCAGCCCTCAGAGAGAGGAGGAGGATCAGGCAGTCACCTAAAAGGCGTCTGTTTCTACATGACATGGAGGGGAGTAGATTGGTAAAGTAATTTGGAGCTTTTACAGGAATTAAGACGCATACAGTTTTAAAAAGTGAGAGGTTAGTTCAGGTAAATTCTTTGAGCAAAGTCCAAAGAAGCTGCTGAGTCATGGTTAGGAGGCAAACAGCAGCGGGGAGTCTCAGTCGGGGAAAGGATCTTGTTTCTGCTTTGGACCCACGTCGCTGGGAGATGACTCCAGCCCTCGACCCACAGTGAAGCTGTGTGAAAACAAGGCCTGCTGAAGGCAGCCGTGAGCAAGGAGTCGGATGGGCACCCCCCTTACTGTAGTACACGAGACCCAGCCCCTGTGGCTCATCGCGTGTGTGTGGAAGCCATCCTGGTGAGCAGGGTGTGCAGAAAGCAGTTTGCGGTGACATGGAGGCCGCGCAGGGCGAGGATAGTGGCTTGCGAAGACCTTTGCTGCTCTGCGTTGTTGCTTTGGAAGGACGCTTCCCTTTGCCTGGCCGTCAAGGCGGGAGTTTTGCTTTCAGACCCAGTGGGGCATATTTGTCCCATCTTATTTTTTCCTTCTCATTTTATATTTAAAAAGTTACATTGCTTTTTCTTAACAATGATTGTTTTTTAATCTTATCAAATTAAAATCTCTCATGAGTTTGGCGAGAGCTTGGGGGTGAATGAAGAGGAAGGAGGAGGTCCCCAAGTCCCAGCACCCTGTTCCCGAGCTGCGGGCTGCTGTGCAGCAGTGTACAGGCCCATGAAGCCATCTCTCCTGGCTCTTGGAGGGCCAGTGGAAAGAACTTGCAAAGGACCCCTTTAATTATGGCCTGTCAGAGTAGAAAGGAATCACTGTGGTCAGTTATGAATTGTAGGCTGTCTGTGTGTCCCTGGCTTTTCTTTCTAGAATCTGTCTTGCGGCTTCAGTGAAAAGAAAGAAGCAAAAAGACCCTGCATAGGATGTTATAGAGCAGAAATTTCATTTTGTTTTATGTTTTGGCCACAGTGAATGTTTGCATGCGAGTATGTGGTTCATTTCCTAAACACTGAGGATGGCAGTGTTCGTGGTTCTGTGCTTTTTGCCTTCTCAGGTTCAAAAGCCGCAAACAAATTTACAGTCTCATTGAAGATAATAACGTGGATGATGCGGAGGCAGGCAGGCAGGCAGAGGTGATATTCACCGTTACACGTGAGAGGATCTCTTGTTACTTTCATGTGTGCACGTGTGACTTGCAGGCGTAGTGCTGTTTCTGTAAAACTATCTGCCGTTATCAGACCCTTCACTGCGTCATGGTTTAAGCAGAACGGCTCGCTTCTCTGCCTCCACCATTACATACTTGTCATGTGACACTGCGCCCCACCCTATCCCTGCAGTAAGCGGTACCCCCCTTACAGCATATTTCTTGACCTATTCAGCCCAGTATTTTGTCTGAGAGACATCACCAAAACAGTATGGAAACTCAGTTGTGCCAAAATTTAATTTTATACATGGGTTAAAATTTGGCAGCACCTGTGAGGATCCGCACGCAGTGGTGCTCGCTCCCCCAGCAGACCTGGCCTTGGTGCAGCCTTTGCTGGTTCCCTGTGTTTACACACGTGGATAACACGCAGTTCTCTGAGTGCTCATTTTTGTGACACATTTTGCATTTGCTTTGATGGCAGTTAGTGATGGGTCCTGTAAAGACAAGCGGTGCTCTCCCTCAGTGACGGCCACTGAGACCTCTCCGGGGGGAAGTCCCACGAAGTGACGTGTCCTCAGTGACGACCACTGAGAGCTCCCCTGGGGGAGCTCCCACGAAGCGACATGTGCTAAGCTGGGTGTTTAGTGTCTGTAATCAGTGGGCATGGCACACACATATATGCAGACCTCGCTTTTTCCCTTTTAAAAAACATAAAGTGGAATGTTGAATTGTGCTATTGTGTTTTTGAGTCTTCAAGTTTACTTGGTTCTGTTTTCTCTATTGCCAGAGTTAGAGCTTTTTAGATTGTTTTTAATAATTAGTTATATTTCCGTTTTCTTTTTATCGAGCTACTTAAAATTGAATCAAAGCTAGTATTTCATCTCTCATTTTAGGAATGGTTGAGAAGACTGGAAACCCAACAAAGCCCTATTTGGGGAGTAAATAAAGACAGTGCAGTGATAACTTATTCAGTTAAGTTAGCTTTGAAAGTGATAGCGTTGCTGCTAATGCTATCTGGGTAACTGCTTGATCTGGGATTATTCACAGAGCCTTATGGAGGGTTTGTGCCCTGGTACGTGGGGTCTCACTGCGGAATATTCTTACATTCAGCTAAGCCCACCAGCAGAATTCTTTTTGCCAGTAAAAGGACACAGGACCTCTTAGTATTTCACACATGGAACGTTCATATGCTCTACAAGGTTTTTGTAAAGTATTTCCTAGCAGTTTACTTTCAAGGTTAATTTCGACCATGTGTGTGTATGTGTGTACATATATACATACATATATCTTTTTCTTGGCATGCTAACGTTTGAATTTAATTCATTCTGGATAATAAGGAGAACATTGAAACTGATAAGTAACGCTCATCCAGCACTTAAATGGACCGGCGCCCTGTGTACGCCGTAAAAGGCGACGCTGTGCTCCCTCTACAGGCCAGACCCCTGAGAAGCCAGCGGCACCGAAGGCCAAGAATGCCAGCCGTTGCTGCTGTCACAGGCAGCCCTGCCTGGGGAAGCCTGCGCTCACCCCCGGGCGTGGGTGGGCAGGGCATTCTGGGAAGCCTGTGGGCCGCTGGGGGGACCTTGGCTCTTCCTTTGAGAAGCCTGAAGGGTTGGAGAGTTTGGAGCCCCGGGGGACAGGACTTGACTTAAATGCTGTGCTGAGCGTGGCCAGGACGGGACGAGGCCACACAGGCGGAGGGGCAGAGGTGCACTGGGAACCAGTAGGAAGCCGCTGCCGCCGGTCGGGGAGGCAGAGGGGTGAGCCCTGGTTGGCCTCTAAGTATATCTTGAAGGTAGAGCAGACAGGACCAGATGTGGGGTGGAGAGAAGGGGAGGAGTCGAGGGAGATAGCCCAGGATTTGGTCTGAGGATCTGCAGGAATGGCACTCTGTTACTGAGGAAAGGAGGTCGGGCAGGAGCACGCATTTACAGGTGGGCAGATACGAGGAAAGGTGCAAACCTGAGATGCCCGTGCGAGAGGCGAATGGGGATTTTTACACGGCAGCTCGATCCGCGCGTCTGGCGTGGATGGGGCTGGGTGGCTGGGGGGCAGACGTAACGTAATAGGCCATTTGCTTGTTTATCTTGCCCAGAGCTGCAGCCTCACATGTCTGTAGGGGCCAGGTAGGAGGCTAAATGAGGAAGGCAGCAGGAGGGGCGAGGCTGCCGTGACTACGAAGCCCCGCCCACCCCCTTTGGACCACGAGCGAAGCCCGCACCCTTGCCTCCCCCTGAGTAGGTGGCCCCGTGGGAATCCAGACCCAGGGACATTCCCCTGGGCCATTTCCTCTGAGAAGTAAGAGTTATTGGAATGTAAACGTCATAAGGGCGGGGACTTGTCTCTCCGTGTCCTTCCTGACACGTTGGGGTGTTACCGACCATTTTGTCGACTGAACGAATGAGTGGGTGAATAAGTGGGTGATAAACCAGTGAATGGCGGTGCATTTGGAAGGCTGCTTGCTGAACGCATCCGGGAACTTGCCAGTCTCCATGTGTGGCTCACCGGGTTTCAGACGAGAGTACTCTCACTTGAATTTAGAGCACTCTGATGGTTTACAGGGCATTTTTACATGTCTGTCTGGTACTGGGAGGTATGATGCTTTTTATAGTTAGGAAAAGCAATTCTTGAGTTAAATGGTAGAGAGTTAGCATTTTTTTTTTCATCAGCAGCATGTTCTCACTAAAATATGAGTATAATTTTATTGTCTTAAAATACTATAGGCTCTCAATATTCTCTAATGCCATTGTGGATATGGTATGATAGTAAAATATGATTCTTTACATTATCTAATAGATGATATTATAATGGAGAAAGTGAATAAAATTTTTCATTAACAGCTCCAAATTAACAACTTGGAATATGCCCTGAGATGACAGGGTACGATGGCTGCTTCCGATGCCCCTTTTTGCTTCTCAGTTTGTTATTATGACAGCCTGGTAGTCTGATGATTACAAAAAATATATATGTATATACACATGTGGGATGCTGCCGTAGTCAAGGAGAAGAGACAGCAGCCTGGTGGGTAGAGCTTGCTTTTATGCACGGAGCTAAGGAGTAGGTTCATTGTTTCTTTGCCATTTATATAGGAGAGCAAATATGTGTACCTCTAAGCTGCATTACTATCTAGAACAACTAAATTCCACAGTTGTGTGATGGTGATTTCCGAGACAAAGCATAAGAAAGCACATCTAGTCACTAGGTTGCGTGGTGGCTCCACGTAGACTGTTAATGGTCAGCGGGGTTCGGCACCGAGAGAGCTGGAAGGAACGACCGATCCCAGGAGGCTTGATGTTTGCGCTGGAGACTGGCACCGGGTTAGGAACGCGGCGACACAGGCTTGCTGTGCAGAACAGCAGCAGCAGCGTGTCAGCTGACACTGGCGTTGGGTTCATGATCTGGAGAAAATGGAATTAAACGGCCATGCTCACCCCACCGTGGACGCTATGGTAAGCGGAGAGAGTCTTTCCGGTGGATTGTGTCGTCGGAGCAGTGTTTATGACTAATGGCTGCCATGGTTTTTGAGAGTGTTTTTAAGGAAAGAACAGTTTTCTTCTAGCCCATTTCCTTGTCTCCCTCTGTCCCGTCTCCCTATTAAAAGCTGTGATCTGCTGTGGCTAGAATGTAACTATCAGTGTGTGCGATTAACCATTTTCATCAGAATCTGTTTCTTGTCGCTCAGACTGTGTAACTGCTGGATTTCTCGTTTAGGAGATCTGCAATGCTTGTGCTGAGTCATTTGAGTTAAGTGAATGGGGTAAAGTTCTATTTTTAGCCCTCAAGGGCCCATGAGGGCGAAGGGCGAGCAGAGTCATGTGCATCTGCCCGGTGCTGCCCACCTAGATCCATTTTATGTACTTTTGGCTGCTGAATAAATACAATATTCCTAGAAAATACATTCGCTTTTCTTGTGCGTTGTAAAGCTTTTTCGTAACTCCTGTGAGGAATCATTTTTAAAGTGTAAAAGTCACATGAGCGAAGCAGCAGTTGCCGTGGCTGCTCCCAGCGCTGATTTTCCTTTAAAGGTCAGCGCTCGCTCTCGTCGCCCCAGACTCGGGCTCTTCCGCGCGCGCTCAACTTGGCCCCGAGTCCTTGTGGAGGCCGATACCCTGTTCGCGACCCTGAAAAGAAAAAGCTGTCACAGTCGCTCTCGGCGCTGGCCCGTGTTTTCTAAACTGCTCCTCCCGTGGCAGTCGTGTGTGTGCACTTTGCAAAAGGAAAAAATGCCCTGGTCTTCTTGAGACCGGGAGCTCCTGGAGGACTGAGATGAGCTGGTCGTTGTTGTTGTTGTTGTCGTCGTATTGAGTTTGGCACGAGACTTTGCGGCCATACATAGTGAATAGTATTTTTGGTGGCGACTCCCTTTTAGCCGTCCAATGGGCATTTAGGTCCTTATCCTGCCCCCACCCCCCCAAACAAGATGCTATACCCTGGGAGGAATATTAACATTTTCACATATTAGTAAAACACGTATACTAAATTTGATCTACAAACCTATCATTTTTAAACTCTCATGTTCATTTAAATATCGATAATGTATTTCTTTTGGAACGTGGAAAATTTATTTATAAAACCTTTAGGTTACAACAAAGTGCACAAACACTTGGCGGTAGACTAACGCGCGTTTCTGTCCTCACGCAGAGCTCTGGCATCGAGACTTTGGTGGAGGAGCTGTGCTCCCGGCTGAAGGACCTCCAGAGTAAGCAAGGTGAGGGCAGTGCGCTCACTCCCTGAGGGACGTGGTCGGTCGCCCAGGAGGACGCGGCCACCCAGGAGCGGGTCGGGGGCCTCTTAGAGTTGACGGGAGCAAGAAAAACAAGAGCAGGTCTTAGGGTTCGGTGCGTGTCAGCACGCCAGCATCACGCTGTGTCCTCAGCTGTTAGTGGCTTCTGGGTCAACCCTGAATGGTCACTTAGATAGGTCCCCGCTGTCAGAGGAGCGATTTCATCCACAGGTGCCCTTACAGAGAGGACCCAGGCCTTTTGTTTGTCTTCAGATTGAAGCTCAGAGATCGGGAGCACTGTTTTCTTTCCTCCATCCTCGTGCCCCTGTTAACATCTGCCTGTGGACACCAAGGCCTCCAGAGGTGTCTACACAGTTATTTCAGGTCTGGAAGGAACATCTGCCTTAACTCTCGGATTTTTGAAAAGGCGCACTTGACAGGCGCAAGTCATTTTGACTCGTGAACCCTCGTAGCTTCTTTTCCCAGCTTTTCAGTAAGCCCTTAGAACAGGAGCTACGTACTGAGATTAAGAGTCCTTGTTTTCCTTGTCCTCATGGTCATTTTGCTGCCCGAGTCTAGAGCCTTCCTGTTAAGGATGCAGTTTGTTTGTTTTTAATCTGAGGCAGTATCATGAGCTAAGCTGAGGGTAGAGTTCTGCTTCTGTTTTAGTTGAAACACAGCTCTTGGTCTTCTGATGTTAAGTGACAGCTAACTGTAACGAAGAAGTTTCTTTGCAGATTGGCATTAGTCGAGATGAGTCAGTGTAAAAGTCCATGAGTGCAGAATTTTGTGACAAAATAGTTTTGGAATCTAAACAGATGTTCTCTTTTTCTAGTATAATTAATAAGTACACAGGGGATTTGAGTCTCTCAATTAAGTATCTCTAGGGCAGCGGTCCCCAACCTTCGTGGCTCCTATGAGAATCCAGTGCTTGAGGATCTGAGGCGGAGCTGAGGCGGTGATGCTGGCGCTGGGGAGCGGCTGCAGATACAGATGCAGCTTCGCTGGCCCGCCACCTTTGCTCACCTCCTGCTGTGAGGCCCGGTTCCTAACAGGCCACAGCCCGCGGACAGGAACCAGTCCGCGGCCCGGGGGTTGGGTACCCCTGCTCTAGGGCGCTGTATCAGTGATAAGATGAACAGGTCTCACCTCTCAGCCCAGGGTCCACGTGGTTTAGCCAGAGAATTCCCTCTAGTGCAGTGAAGAAATCGTTTTTTATTAAAAAGACAAACTGCTATAGAGTTCTTAAGTCACAAAAGCCTGTATAATTTCTATTGAAGTTACTTGAGAAACTTTTAAAAACACAAGCTTTCATTGACTAGATATAAGACAAATCTTTCTGAATTTTTGTTTCATAACAGAAGAGAAGATTCACAAAAAGTTAGAGGGCTCTCCCTCCCCAGAGGCAGAGTTATCCCCTGCAGCAAAGGATCAAGTGGAAATGTACGTACGGTTGCATTCAGTGATAAAGTGCGCATGTGTTAAAATCAAGCTAATCACTGCTACTTGGTTTACAGTCTTTGTTTAGTCTTTGTTTCTTGTTTTTATTTAGTGTCATATTTTATAGTTCAAGAAATATTTATTGAGCACTAACACGTGTGTTTGACACTGAGAGTTCAAAAGTGAATGAGATAGTTCTACCCTTAGCATTCATGTTGAATCAATATTTGTGCAGTGAATGAAAGAAACAAGCAAGTTTATTATTTACACTCTATCCGTGTACTATCACCTTTGAAATTCACACCTGTCCTTTGAGACGGCCAAAAGAAATTATGTTGATCCTTGTTCTACACACAAGGAAGCCAAGTCCCCATTGCTGATTCTAGAGGGAACACAGGCAGGTCATTGACCTTGTCACACTTGTTTGCTGAAGATGCTTTTTATTTTCTCTTTGTATATGGTTAGAATTAAGATCAGCTGCATTATAAGCAGACTTCTTGTACGTTTTATTCGAATCTTCTGAACTTCTAAAACTTAAGGAAAAAATAGCCGTTAGTTGCTTTGCATAGACCTGCACTTTTCGCCATGGCAGCCAGAAGCCACATGAGGCTGGTGAGTGCTTGAAATGTGGCTGCTTCAGACTGAGCTGTGCTGTAAGTATAAAAGTCTCACCAGATTTAAAAGACTTAGAGTAAAAAGAAATGTAAAATATTTTATTTATATCTTTTAATACCAATTACATGTTGAAATGATGTTATGATGATTATATCTGGTTAAGTAAAATACATTTTTGAAATTAATTTCACCTGTTTCTACTTATGCTTTCAACGTGACTCTTAGAGCATTCAGAGTTGCATATAAGCTCACAGCATCTTTTTGTTAGCTCTGGTACAGACTGAAAAGGGAGGTCAGGTATACGTCCCTGCAGGCATGGCCTTTTATCACTTGAAATGGGACCGCGACCGTCGCCTCCAGAACCACAGTCCCCTTGACCACCAACCTGATGGCAGGTTCTTCCTTGGGCAATCTGTCTTGCTCTGAAATCTTCTTTGTTTTCAAGCCCTAAGCCAGGCCCTCGATTTTCCTTTCTGCATTTCCACAGTCACTGGTCCCATCGGGCTTCGGTTCCGTGAGCACAGCCTTGTGTCCTCACCTAGGTCGCTGTGTCTCACCGGTACTGCTCACGAAACTACTGCGTTTCTGGAACTGCAAGGCTCAGTCGTGGTCCACCTTCTCTAACTGTTCTGGGGCTCACGAGCACCCTCTTTTTCTGAACACATGAATGCCATAATCCCCACTAACTCCAAGGGTCTGCCGAATGCCCCGCTTTGTGCTGGCCTCCAGAGGAGAAGGAACAGTACTGACAGCCGCCCGGAGAAGGCGCTGTTCTCACTTCACATGTTAAGTCCTTCAGCCCTCACAGCTCTGCGACATGTAAATACTGTCATTACCCCAGTTTTTAGGTCAGGAAACTGAGCCACAGAGGCTAAGTAACATGCCTGAGGTCACACAGTTAGTGACAGTCAGGATTCACACTTAGGAAGTGTGACTTCAGGATGCGTGTTCCCAACTACGCTGCTGCACAGCGTTTCAGCCGCATCCGCACCAGCGCTCGCCCGCCTTCGTGAGGTCAGCCGCATCATCGCCATCTCGCAGTCCAGGCAATGGGGACCAAGACGCTAGATAACTGGTTCAAGTCCAAGCGCAGTGAGTGACTGAGCCAGGCACCAGACACAGGTATCTTGCAGCAAAAGAGTCATCTTCGCACTACATCGTAGTTGTCACTCTTGGCCACTTAGTTAAAATTCAGACTTTGAAGAGAAAAACTGTCATCTTACATATTTTCTTAATACTCTTAAGTGCTTATCTCAGTGCTTGATACATGGGACTAAACATAAAGGATATTTTTGCTGTGTTACTAATTATTTTAAAGTTATTAATTCATGGATGATGTACACGTTGACTGTTAAGATGAAGTATCCCATTTTTCCAATCGATCATGTTGTGTTACTCTTTGTTTTTCAGGTACTATGAAGCATTTCCACCACTTTCTGAGAAACCAGTTTGCCTGCAAGAGATCATGACTGTGTGGAACAAGCCAGCAGTCAGTTCTTACTCGAGCTCCTCGTCGTCGTCCACAGCCCCGCCCACCAGCACCGGGACCTCCTCTCCCAAGGACTGCAACAGCGAAGGGGACGTCATCAAGGAAAGAAGCAACGAAGTGTCCACCACTGCACGCGAGAAAACCCAGAGCAGAAGTAAAACCGAGAAGGAGAACAAATTTAGCAATGGCCCAATCGAAGAAAAGCCCGCTTTGTACAAAAAGCAAATGCGACATAAACCCGAGGGGAAGATTCGCCCTCGCTCATGGTCTTCCGGCTCCAGTGAAGCAGGTTCAAGTTCAAGCGGTAATCAGGGAGAATTAAAAGCATCCATGAAGTGCGTGAAAGTAAGACACAAGGCACGAGAAATTCGGAACAAAAAAGGGCGGAACGGGCAGAGCAGGCTTGCGCTGAGGCACGGCGAGAAGGCCGAGAGAAACGTCCACGCCGGAAGCAGCAGCAGCAGCGGCGGCGGCGGCTCTGTCAGTCAGCTGTGCAAACGCGGCAAGAGGCCGGCGAAGGACACGGGGAGGAAAGACGCGGGGAGCGCGGAAGGGAGAGACCTGTACGCGGAGAGCAGAAACGACAAGGAGTACAAAGAGGAACCGCTGTGGTACACCGAGCCGATCGCCGAGTACTTCGTCCCCGTGAGCAGGAGGAGCAAACTGGAGACCACGTATCGGAACAGAGAGGCGCGCGCCGCGCCCACCGAGGCCGTGGCCGGGCTGTCCGACGCCGTGCACGGTCTCCGGATCAGCAGCAGCGCCCTGCACAAGGCGTACCTCGCAGCAGGCACGTTCATCGACGGCCACTTCGTGGAAATGCCTGCGGTTATCGATGAGGAGATCGACCTCACTGGGACCTCACTCTGTTCTCTCCCGGAGGACGACAAATACTTAGATGATATTCATCTCTCAGAATTAACGCACTTCTATGAAGTGGATATTGATCAATCCATGTTGGATCCTGGTGCCTCAGAAACAATGCAAGGGGAAAGTCGGATTTTGAATATGATTCGACAAAAAAGCAAAGAGAAGACAGATCTTGAGGCCGAATGTTGCATAGTGTTAGATGGCATGGAGTTGCAAGGGGAACGTGCAATATGGACGGACTCTGCCAGCTCCGGGGGTGCCGAGGGCCTGCTCCTGCAGGACCTCGGCAACCTGGCCCAGTTCTGGGAGTGCTGTTCATCCAGCTCCGGTGATGCCGACGGCGAGAGTCTGGGAGGAGAGTCCCCGGGGAGACTCTCCCCGCACTTGGACGGCGTGGCGCTCAGTCCGCACGCGCTTGCTGGCCGCCGAGAGCTCTTTTCGGACATTAATGAAGGATCTGGTATCAACTCTTGTTTTTCAGTGTTTGAGGTGCAATGCAGTAATTCTGTTCTACCGTTTTCCTTTGAAACACTCAACTTGGGAAATGAAAATACAGATTCTAGTGCTAATGTGCTTGGGAAGACGCAGTCTAGATTGCTAATATGGACCAAAAATAGTGCCTTTGAAGAAAACGAACACTGTTCTAATCTTTCAACGAGAACCTGCAGTCCCTGGTCCCATTCGGAAGAAACGCGTTCGGATAACGAGGCAGCAAGTCTTCAGTTCGAAGAACCCGCCGCGCAGTTTAGTGCTGAAGGTATCAGCTACGTGGTTCCCGGAGTCTCGTCCAATTATGTAGATGAAGAGCTTCTAGATTTTTTGCAGGATGAAACTTGCCAGCAAAACAGTAGAACTTTAGGCGAAATTCCTACGTTAGTTTTCAAAAAACAATCTAAACTAGAATCTGTCTGTGGTATTCAGCTAGAACAAAAAACGGAAAACAAAACGTTTGAAACTGCACAAGCGTGTCGGGAAACCAGTCCGCACGGAGATGGCTACAGCTCAGGGGTTATTAAAGACATTTGGACAAAGATGGCGGATAGGAATTCTGTAGCTCTGGTAGAAGTAGAGAGAGTTGATGATGAGCTGTTTTCGACCGATGTAAATAACTACTGCTGCTGTCTGGACGCCGAAGCTCAAGTGGAGCCCCTCCGGGAGCCGAGTAAGGCCGTGCAGAGGTCGGAGTACCGTCTGTGGGAGGGACAGAAGGAGAACCTGGAGAAGCGAGCGTTCGTGTCCAGTGAGCTCTCGAAGGTGGACGGTGGCGATTATACTACACCCTCTAAACCTTGGGACGTCACCCAAGAGAAGGAGAACGCCTTCATTCTTGGAGGAGTTTACGGGGAGCTCAAAACCTTTAATAGCGATGGGGAATGGGCAGTCGTACCGCCTAGTCACACGAAAGGAAGTTTGTTACAGTGTGCGGCTTCTGATGTCGTGACGATAGCCGGCACGGATGTCTTCATGACCCCAGGCAACAGTTTTGCTCCCGGTCACAGGCAGTTATGGAAACCCTTCGTGTCCTTTGAACAGAATGACCAGCCGAAGAGTGGGGAAAATGGATTAAATAAGGGATTTTCTTTTATCTTCCATGAAGACTTACTAGGCGCTTGTGGTAATTTTCAAGTCGAAGATCCTGGACTCGAATATTCATTCTCTTCCTTTGACCTAAGCAATCCATTTTCACAAGTTCTTCACGTCGAATGTTCATTTGAACCCGAAGGGATTGCATCTTTCAGCCCTAGTTTTAAACCGAAATCAATCCTCTGCTCTGATTCAGACAGTGAGGTTTTTCACCCCAGGATATGTGGCGTCGACAGAACACAATACAGGGCTATTCGAATCTCTCCTAGGACTCACTTTCGCCCAATTTCTGCATCTGAACTGTCCCCGGGAGGAGGAAGCGAGTCGGAATTTGAATCTGAGAAAGAGGAAGCAAATATTCCTGTTCCTTCTCAAGTTGATGCATTCGAAGATCCACAGGCAGATCTCAAACCACTGGAAGAAGATGCAGAGAAAGAAGGCCATTACTATGGAAAATCAGAACTTGAGTCTGGAAAATTCCTTCCCAGGTTAAAAAAATCCGGGATGGAAAAGAGTGCTCAGACATCACTGGATTCCCAGGAGGAATCAGCTGGGATTCTGCCAGCGAGACAGCAGAATCAGTGTTTGGAGTGTAGCCTGAGTGGGTCTCTGGAAATCAGCTTAGAAAGCTCAGAAGCTAATTGTAAAATAATGGCACAATGTGAGGAAGAAATTAATAATCTTTGCAGTTGTAAAGCAGGTTGTCAGTTGCCTGCTTATGAAGATAATCCAGTTTCTTCGGCACAGCTGGAGGAGGTAGGTGTCTCTCTCTCTCTGTTAGTATTGATAAAAGGATTTGGTCAGACTTCAGTCTGAGAAGAACCGTATCAGGCAATGAAAGATGGGGTTACATGATTGGGAAATGAGCTTAACTTCCTTGTAATGTATCATTACTTTACGTAAGGACTTAAAATGAACTCGATATTTATAAGTTTGAACTAGACAATAGACGTTTTCTGCAGAGAAAAGACATTTTTAAATCACAGGATATAAATAAGATTCTTACGTGTTGTTTTAGTATGCACATACTGTGCTTAAAGCAAAACCTGATATACAGGCATTTCCGCTTTCAGAGTCGATGAGTCGGACGTGGACGTGGCCGTTCACTGTTCAGAAGGCCCTCTGCTCTTCAGAAGTAACAGTGCAGGGTTTCCTTAAGTCCATCCGACTGCCTCTGACACGCTGACCTGTGTATCAGAACTTGTGTTTTACGTGTAAAATAAATTACATCTGTAGAGAGTTCTCTAAAATATATTATGATGCAGGTAAAAATTAACCCACAACCTAAATGCAACACAGCAGCTTCCGCAGAACCTACGCAGATGGACCTCAGTTTATACAGAGTGTATACTCCTGCAGCTGTGTGCATCATGTGCCAGGTCTGTCAGACGAGGGTCAAAGTAATAGTTTTGTTAACAGGGGTCACTCTCCCCTTTAACTAGTCCTAAGAAGTGGACTTCAAGGAATCGCACTTAAGGCAGTGACCTGTTCCACAGAATAGCACAGTGATCTGCCTGCTGTTCAGCCGTTGCTTGGCAAAGCCGTGCCTGGCCATGTTCGGGAACCGCTTATTAAAAAGGCAGCTGGAGGTGGTGGTCGTGACGGGAGAGCCGACGAGTGTCACCCATTCCTCCCCTGTGCCCTTGCGCACACTCCACCCACCTCTGGCAGGCCCGAATCCTTCGCACCGCCTTCACTGACACAGCCCCTACTTCCTCTCCCCTGCTCCACCCTCCCCGCAACAAATAATTTCTCCCTTCCTTTAATTTTCATGCACTTCATGCCTCTTTGTCAGTTGCATTTCCACTTTTCGTGAGTCTTCTGTACTCTCTCTCATTAGAGTATAAGCTCCTCATGGCTGCGGACCGTGCCTTCCTCGTGTGTGGGGTCGGTGTGTCCTTGGGGTGCGCCCGTGTGCCTGCGAGGGTGGGTGACGAGAATCAGCGCTGCGGTCAGCTTGCCCGGACGTCCTCAGGCGGGAATTCAGTCCCACTGAACGCTGAAGTCTGAGCTTGACCGAGAACTGAAAAAACAGGGTCGCGAGCACTTAACCTGTCTGTCTCTTGCCCTGCTTTCATCCTTAAATATTTCTTCATGCACTTTGTATCTCACCTGGTTCCAGGTGGGAAGGCAGAGGGACTCTGCATCGCAGCCCCGCCACGCTCCTTCGCTTGCTAGTGCATGGATGTCTTTATGTGCTCTCAGAATTCTGGGCTGTCGTGACAGCTTCTGGCCACCAGTGAAGTCCTCAGAGGACATCGCGGGGTTGTGCGACAGTCTAGATGTTGTCGTACTGTCAGCCCTGGTCTGGCAGCATCGCCACAGCTTCGAGCCGGATTGGAGCGCACTTCACGGACTCACCTGAAGTGTGGAGAGGCTGAGAGAGTGGCCTGCAGGGACAGTGCGGGGCCAGGATGGGCCGAGAACCTGTGCCCTGCCACTCTCACTACGCGGCCAGCCTCGCGGAGCCCCTACGAGGCTCTTCCCGCTTTTCCTGAGTGAGGGCAGCCTACACAGCGCATCCTGGGAGCCCCATCCTAAAGGTCACCAGTTACCCAGCTGTCTCAGACCACGTGGACTAAAATGAAGGATTTCTAATAGAATTGGTGCCCAGAAGCATGAATTATGATTTTTTTCAGAAGTTTAATTCAATTCAGTTTAGCAGTCATTTATTGAATACCTGTTACGTGGCCGTCGGTGAATTAGATGCCTGGATGAACAGGCGTTGCCCTTGTCCTCAAGAAATCCCGTCTGGTCACAAAGGCCAATTTGTAAACAGTTTATTTTAATTGAAATGGGTAATGCATTCATATGGTTCAAATCCAGAAGTCACGAGAGGGCACGTACACGGCGAAGAGGCCCCTGCCTCCCCAGCAGCAGCCAGGAGGATGCGTTCTGGCGTCTCTCCCGAGGACGTGCCATGCCCCACGAACCAGTGTGTGTGCACAGCGATTTCCCCCTCGTTTTCCTTTCAGCGAAGTGGCGCTTCCTGATAATCGCTCCCCTTGTTCGTCTTCTGCACAGTCTTCCATTGTATGGATGGACCGCGACTGACCCAGCTAGTCCGTCGTCTTGTAGGGCATTTGGGCAAACACAGTTTCAGATGACGTGGTAGGTGGCGTGGCAGAGGTGAGCACAGGTGCTGTGGAGACCCAGAGCAGAGCCCTCCAGCCTGCGAGGGTTGAGGGAGGCTTTCTGAACATACCTGAGGGTCCAGGGGCCTCCAGGCAGAGGAACAGCAAAAGCCAAAGTAGAGGCTTGAAACCTCACGTGTGCTGGCAGCACCACGAGTAGGTCGTGGCTTCTGAAGTGTCAGGGGGAAGGCGAGAGGAAGCAGAAAGCAGAGTGTGCCTCAGGTGTCCATTTGTGCATACGTTCGTGACGAGTGTCATATGTCGTCTGATCAACCGCTGGCTTAGTGCCAGGCCTTTGGAGCACAGCAAGGGAGCAGGATTGACCGTGCAGGAGAGGGGGCCGGTGCCGGCCCAGTGGCCTGGAAGCCGGGCTCCGTGAGTAGAGGGCCGGGGCTACCTGGGGCCGCGGTGCCCAGCCCACCTGTGCCAGGCAGTGTGCCCACCGCTTTCGCACCATTACCCTGTTGAGTGCCCACAGCGACCTGCAGAAATCATCCCGGTGACTGCGTGACTGCTCAGGACAGGACGCTAGGCCCAGAGGGCTGGGCTGCCTGCCCCGCCCCCATCCCAGGCTGAGGGGTGGAGCCCAAGTGCCTTCCAGGACTTCGCACTTCCTGTCAGTTCAGGGACACTTCAAACAGGCCGCGGGGGCGTCTCTCCCTTGGCCTCTGTTCTCTGTATCTCTTCCTTTATATTTCCTTTCTTTTTATCCCAAAGAGCAAGGCTTATGGAAGGCTTCCTTTTTTCTCTGTGGGCCCAGTAACTGGCCATGGCAAAGGGCGTGCTCAGAGGAACACCGAACACCCCTCTCCGCCCTCTCCGCCGGTCTGGGGCTGTCTACTGAGAGCGGGGAGCGGGAGCCTCGCTCACCTCTATCTGTTGCCAAAACCTCTGGCCGGGCTTTCTGGACTAAGTTTATGGCTTTTTTCGCCTACTGTTGCATTCATTCATCAAGTGTCTACTAAGAGCCTGCTGTATCTGGGCGCCGTCCTAGATGCTGCCAGTCAGGGACAAAGATTGTCGGGTTTGTAGAGACACGTAAATGTGCGAAGTTACCCTGAACGCCAGAGCACGGTGCTGGGGGGCGGGGGTGGGGGGGGTCGGAGTGCTGGGGCTTTGCTCAGTGGCTGTGCTGCCAGCGCAGGCTCCCTGGTGCAGGTGCACGGGGAGGAAGGGCCTGCGGGCCAGGAGGCCAGCCAGGAAGCCGCCCGGACGGCGAGGGGCTGAGCCCAGGGCCCGAGGCGTGCCCGCCCGTCCAGGGCTGTGTTCTGTTCTGTTGCCTTCTTTCTCCTCTGTTATTTCTTCTTTTTTTTTTTTTCATTCTCAACCAAACCAGAAACTGAATTAATACATCAGACAGACGTTATTTAGGCAAAACATGGTTGTCTTTACTGTGCAGCCTAAAAGTTGGGAATAGCTAAGTGGAAAGATGGCATAAAATAACACATATTCATGTGGCAAAGGTAGCATATCAGTAATATCGTAATGACCTTGGACAGTGTCAGATCATTTAGACTTATGGTGATTGCTTCATTAGGTACATAAATGTCAAATCACTATTCTGTACGCCTGAAACTAATATAATATTGTATATTGACAATATTTTTATTTAAAAAATTGAGAGACAAAGCAGCACAAAAAAATGATTCATATTGATTAAATACGTGTTCAGTGTAGCATAATACAAGATTAAAAAGTCCCAGCCATTGGATTTGAATGGAGGATGCAGGAAAAATCCTAAAACTGGCAGAAACTGGCATGACCTTAACAGCGGTTTCAGCGGGAAAGAGAGAACGGTGCGCTTGGTGCACAGACGCGTCCGACGCTGGGCCCTTTCGTCAGGTCAGCGGACATCGGGTGTCTGCCATGCCCGGCCCTGTGTCTGGACGTGCGAACATAAGTGCCACGTGGTCCCTGCCCTCACGTGGTTTATCTAATTATCTGTTTATCTAATAGCAGTGCTAATTTTTATTGTTAGAATACGCTTCAGGAGAAAATAGTGACAGCTAACTGACCACTGGGTAGGCAGTTTCTGACCTAGGAGTATTTCTGAAAATGAAAGTCCGAAGTGTATTTACCATTTAGTTAAATTAAAAATATATATACATTGCTAAATCAAAAAGATTTAGATCCACGAAATAATTTACATTTTAATGAATAACAAAATCCTGTTAGAGAATCATCATTAGTTGCTAAACAGTTCAGATTTGAAACTTGAACACATATTAAAGTGTCTTCTAAAACAGTAAAGACGTATGCCGCCTACAGGCCTAGCCATTGAGCAGACACCCACCGAGTCAGGGGCTGGGAGAGGTAGAAACACCAGGATGAGCTTTGCCCTGGGAGAACCTTGGCCAGGCCCAGTGAAGAAGAGGCGTGGACGAGCGTTGCCTTCACAACAAGCACACCAGGATGCACGTGGTGACCTCGGCTGGCCACAGGTCTTCTGATGACCACTCACGAGGACACTCCTTAATCACTAATGACCACTGCTGCTGCTACTGATCTCTGGCCACTCTGCATCCAGGCCTCACTGCCCAGGCAGGTGGGCAGGATCCAGCTGGGATTTGCGTGGTCCACTAGTGAGGGATGGAGCCTGGGCCTGAGCGCCTTCTGTCCTGCAGGGCCATGGAGACGCAGCGGGCATGGGTCTCCTGCCCAGGAGCCCTTCCTGCCTTGTTCCGATGGCCGTGTTGCATTTCGAATCTGAACTGCTCTCAGTTTTATTATTTGGTTTTAGCCTCAGCTTTCTTCGGTTCTCACTGAAGCAGATAGTTCTGTTATAAAGACGTTTAGGTCAGTAACTCTGCCTGTAAAATCTTCTTCTGTCTCATTTCTTCTGCTTCGACTCCTTGCCTGGATGTGTGAAGAATGGGGTCCTCCTGTTTTCTCTGGAGCACCTCACAGCATCAGGGACACGTGGCCACCCTTTCTCTCTGCACGCCCAAAAACTAGACACCTGCCTTACTTGGGGTATTTCCTGTTCTGTTACGTGGTTCTGCCTTTTGTTGTGTCTTTAAAGATTTTCATTCCATTTCCAATATAAATACTTTTTAAGAAAAACTTCTTTCATGCGTTACGGATACTTTGCCATTTTTTATTCACTTTAAAACAGTAAACTCATCGATTTAAAAATCTTGGGTTTGTAGTTTATAGTCAATGCTTGAATTTTTGTTTTATCCTGAAAGTTTGTAAAGTTTGATTGTATTTGATTTAATCGAAACAGTTTCCCGTATTGAACACTGATGTACAAGGAATGAATAGAAGTCAAGAAAAACAGACTTGGTGGGAAAAAGCCTTGTACTCCCCTCTTTTTCCTGCATCAGAGTGTGAAGGTAAGGAGATCTATGTTAAGTCATTCATTCAGATTTCTAATTCATTAAGAGCGATAAATGATTTTTCTGTGACTGTCAGTCCAGAAAACACAAACGGTTTCTGCGTGGCTAGCACTTGTCGGGCTCTGGGGACACAGAGGTGAATGAGAGCCACAGCCCGATGTGGGGGAAGACATGGAAATACGTGAAAACTGTGCCGACCTTGGATGAGATCTGCAACGGCTCTCAGTGAGTCTGGGGGAGGAAGTAACCAGCTAGGCGGAGGCCTTCAGGGAGGCCCCTGGTGGGGAAGTTGAGGAAGGACCATCCCGTGAAAAGAATGGGCTGCACAAAGGCAAGTGGAGGGAGCAGGGACATGTAGGGCCCAGCTGGGTCGTGGCTGAGGCCAGAAAGGCAGGCGGGCAAGCGGCTTGCGTGGAAGTTTGGGAGCTCTGCTGAGCTAGGTGGAGTTGGACATGCAGGAAGGAGAGGCCGTTTAAAAGGTTGCAGATTGGAAGGTGTCAGGTCTGTGTTTTAAATCCTAGCAACAGAGTGGAGGTGGAGTATAGAAACCGAGGGGCGTCTGTGGGGTTCTGGGGCTCTTGCAGGTCCGGGGCACTGGGGGGAGGTAGATGAGAACAGCACCGTGAGGTTTTGAGAGGATGCCAGAGTCTGTGGGGTGACTGTCTGTGAGGAGTGAGTGGCGGGAGGGAGCCAGACGAGGCCAGGCGGAGGGAGATGGGAGCAGCGGCAGATCGGGTGAAGATGACTTAGTCCGTCAGCCCCGCAGGTAGACACACCTGGAAGCTGTGGAATACCCGGATCTGGAATTCTGGGGGAAGTGGGAACAAGGGGGCGGTGGGAGTGGGTCAGCTCGGCGGGTGAGCTTGTCCAGGTTGCTGTGGTCTGGATGCTGTGCGTCCTTGGCTGCAGCATTGACTGAGCAGCCTCTCCCGTCAGAGCCCTGAGGGGCACGTAAGTCACTCGTTCGTATTTACATGTTTACCTGTCTGTCTTGTCTCCCGGCTAATTGTAGTTAATGTGGAGCCAGCGACGTCCCTCACTGCCCACGATGCTTTGCAGGCTCCGGGTGCCCAGAACGCCTTCTCTGGCCTTAGCTGGCTGACTGCCCCTTTCTGTTCTGTAGGCACAAAAGCAACCTCCCAAACCCCGCCTCCCCCTCCCGAAAGTTTGCTGGGCCGTGAGGAGGGCCCCGTGCGCGGGCTGTGTTCTCAGCTTTGACTTTGTGTGTTTATTCGAGGCCTGTTTCCCCACCGTTAGCCGATGCCTGTTTGCCTTTCTAATGTACAAGGTGCTGTCGATGTGTTTTCTATAACTCCCACAGAAGCCTCCTGTGAAGCCACCCTAGTTTTCAGATGGAGAAGCTAAATCTTGGGTTGAAGAGTTTGCCCAGAATCACGCATTAGCCGTCGAGCTCGGTTCCAGTCCAGCCTGTCTTGTTCAGAAGCTTTGTTCTCTGCAGCCGCTGTCTGCGCTTAGTGCCCAGGGAGACATGAGGAGCACAAAGCTGCCTTGACTTAGGTCTAGTCTAGTTCCCTGGGTGAGCGTTACGTCATGGAGTTAACAGGGTGCAGGTGCAGCAGGGACCCCCCCAGGGAGAGCCAGCGGAAGCAGGACGTGCAGCAGGCAGGGCCTGGGGGTGGCAAAGACCTGTGCTGGGGGGTCCTAGGATGACTTTCAGACACACAGAGTTCTTTGCTCTTGGCAGCCTTAGTCCAGCTTCCTGTCATTAGGAATCCAGTTCCAGCTCTTGGCTCCAGACCCTTGGTGTGTCTCTGGTCCTGTGGTGGGTGTAAAAGTGATTGTTAGGACAGAGTGCCTTATTTTCATTGGGAGGTGGCATTTAGAGAAACCCTCAATGGATAAGTAATGGCAACCAGGCTTTCGAATGACCTTTAACTCACAGCCGTAAGTTAGATCCCTGCAGGTTGCCCTGTAGTGGCGTTAGGAAGCGTCTGTCTCTCCTGTGACGGGAGTGGGCCTTAGTCTCAGAAGGCTGGCGGGGAAACAGGTAGCCTCTCGCCACTCAGCTCCTCAGCTCCTGCAGCTCCTAGTGTATTAGCAACACTAGGAGTAGCAATCCCGTGCCACTCCCGAGTCGGACCAGCTTGGGAGCCCTTAGCCTCTTGGGGAGGAGGAGGACCACCCCTTTACAGCAGCGGTCCCAACCTTTGTGGCAGCAGGTGCTGGTGCTCCTCTGAGAATCCAGTGCCTGACGATCCGAGGCGGAGCTGAGGCGGTGATGCTGGTGCTGGGGCGCAGCTGCAGATCCAGATGAAGCTTCGCTCTGTTGCCCACTGCTCATGTGCTGTGTGGCCCGCTTCCTAACAGGCCACGGTCCAGTACCGGTCCACGGCCCAGGGTTTGGGGACCCCTGGTGTACAGTGAGTCAGCTTGTCCAGGCTCCCAGGGCCCCGCGGGACCCCACTTATGTGCAGTCTGCCACCTGCGAGCCTGCATGCATTCATATACACGTCTGTTCATCGAGGAGTTCTCGCACGCCTGCCTTGTGCCGGACACAGTTCAGGCACTGGGGACACGGGCAAACAGGCCGAGGCCCTGCCCTCCTGATCAACAGACGTTTGAGCAGGGACCTGACGCGAGCCATGTAACAGCAGGCGCCGCCTGCGGGGAGAGGTTGCGGGGAGAGGGAGCCGGCAGAAGCTACCTCTACGCGGGAGTGGGAGTGCACTCGATGGGAACGCGGGGGCCGTGCGGGGCGCAGTGAGGGACAGGCTCAGCCGGGAGCCAGACCACAGGGCGTTGCAGGCCGTGTGCGGGGCGGACCTGTGCTGAGCAGCGGTCTTCAGAGCCCATGCCCTGGACGCTAACCGCGTGGAAAGCTCGTTGTAAGTGTCCATATTATTTTAGCCTTAAAGGGCAGCCATGCAGGGCACAGTGCGGAGAACAGCTAGGGGCCTGGGTGACAAACCGAGCTGGAGCCAGGGGCCTCCGTCACCAGCCGCAGGACCTTGGGCGATGACCAGATCTTCCTGTGACTCCACTGTCTGTATGTGTAGAAAGATTTGAGAGCCACACCTCCCTTCGAGAGTAGCTGCAGAGTAAAGCGCCCAGAACAGGCCTGGCGTATGGCCGTGACCCAGAGTGTGGCAGTGTCAGCCGAGGACCCACTCAGTCCTCCCTGTCCCAGTGCCTGTGGTGTCACAGCCTCTTCTTGTGCTCACAGAATCCCTAAAGCAGGAAGAGAAAATGAAGGGGGCGCGGGTGGGGTGGACCCAGCTCCATCCCTAGTCAGGAAGATCCCCACTGCTCACCCCACCTAGGCCAAGTGGTGACCAGATGGGGTGGGGTGCGGGGCGGAGAGCTTGGCCAGGCAAGCCGAGGAAGAGATGGCCGCCCCGAGTGGGCGAACAGGAGTGTCCTGCAGCTGTCCCGACGCAGGCCGGCCCCCAGCACCGGGGCTCTGGTTAGTAGCACTCGTAGGCGTTGCTGAGTGTGCCGGCACTGAACTTGAGGCTGCACACGCCCCGTCTCTCTTAACTTGCACAGAAATCTGAGAGCAAGTGGTGACCCTGTTAGAGATGAGGGACCTGGGTCTCAGGGGTCAGCAGTTCGCCCCGTTACATCACAAGTATGTCACATAACCAGGAGTCAGCTGCCCTGCCTTTTCCCGGAGCCTGGTGGTTTTCACGAATATAAACTGGTGACCTTGAGGACCTGAAGCAGTCAGAACTGCAGGTTGTGGCGAGCACAGCAGGGCCAGCTCGGCCTGGTGAGAGGCTGGGCAGGGCCCAGACGGCCCACCACCTACAGCAGGAGGGCGCAGTCGCCATGGAGCGCTGGCCCTGTCCCCTCCGGTTTTGCGAAGGGGTAGCATCCCGCCTCATTGCACACCTCACGGCAGCTGTGCTGTGGGGCGCAGGCGGTCCTGGTCTGGAGGGGACAGATGCTCGGGGGTATTAAAGGACTCACAGTGGTGTCAGTGTCGGGGTCCACACTCAGGCCTGCCCGAGGTCTCTTCACTGCGTCTTTCTCCATAGAGTTAGGGCGAATGGGGGCTGGTCTAGATCAAGACCAGCATGTCTCAGCCCTGGCTGTGCATCAGAATTAGCTGGGGGGACAAAGTCAACTGTCATATATGTATGTCGAATATTGGGGTGGGGAGAGAATTACCTGGGAGCTGTCAGAAAATGTTAATACCCGTCTTTTCCCTGGACCAATTCAGCTGGCCTCTCAGATGGGGACCTGGGCTTCCAGACTGTCCTTAAAGGCCCCCAGGCGATTGGAATGCACAGCCTGGGCCGCGAACTGCTGGACTAAATGATTCGATTTCTTCTAATTCCGGCTTGTAGTTCCCTGTCCCCTTCTGTGGGCCGCTTACCCCATCAGACCATTAGCCTCACTTCTCTTCCCGAGTCCACAGGTAAAAAAATAGCGTAGGTGTGTGGCACGCCGTTGAGCTGCGGAAGCACAGATGAGGCCGCCACACTGTTGTCTGTGACCGCACGTCCTCCTGTCTGACGCGCCATCGTTCGTCTGTTTCACGGGTGTGCACGCGGGACCTGTCTTCCTCCACGCAGCCGGCTTTTACCCTGTTCCCAGGGCCTGTCGCGTTGTGGGTGTGGACACAGGCACACCTCCCAGGTGCTGCAGATTCGGTCCCAGGCCACTGCAGGGCAGTGAGCATCATGGCAATGTGGGTCTTCTGCTGGTGTAGGGTCTCGCCTTCAATTTGTTAAAAAAAAAAAAAAAATGCAGCATCTGCGAAGCACAGTAAAGTGGGGTGCAGGAGAGTGAGGTGCGCCGTGCGTGTGGGTGACGGCCTCGCGGTGGGGCGACAGGGGCCTGTGCTTCTACTGGGTGACGGCCTCGTGGTGGGGCGACAGGGGCCTGTGCTTCTACTGGCCTGTTTTTTTAAAGACTTGCTAAACAGTCTGTTAAAAGTCTTCAAATCAGCCTGGTGTCTTCGTACACCCCTGGCCGACTGAGCTGGCCACGTCTGCTTTTAGTGGCTACTTAGAATCTCCCAAGGGTCGGCAGACCTGACTGGCCTGGCGCTCAGCAGGCAGTGAAGCGAGAACGCGTGTTTCATAACTGTGTCTTAATGGAATTTCCCCCTTTCCCTCTTTTCCCTTCTCCGTTCCCAATGATTAAGACTGTTGTACAAATGCCAAGGGAGAGAATGGTATAGAAGAGTATCCAGATGCTCACGGAATACCCGGTAATGGAGAGCGTCTGTTAGATTTTAATAGGGTAAGTGGACTGTCCTGCTCCTTGTTATTAACTTGCAAACGGCCGCCCCGTTCTGTCACTCAAGCCGAAATCTGGGAGTCGTGCACTGCCCGTCCCCCTCCCTCCTGGGTCACCAGGCCCTGTGGATGTGACCTTTCTCCTCTGTGGCCCTTCACTTGGTCTGGGACACCTCCCACCTCAGCCTCTTCCCACGGGGCTCCCCAGGTCCCCCACCTCCAGCGGCCCTTCGCACTGCTGCCAGAGGGAATTTCTAAATCCCAGCCCGAGCCTGTCACTCCCCCTTAAACCCTTCGGGTGGGTCTTTTCCTCTTTCACAGCACCCCGCAAGGCCCTGGCTGCGCCTCGGAGGACTCTGTAGTCACAGCCAGAGCGTCTGACCTGGCGTCTGCCTCCCCCCACACCGGAGCCACCCGACGGCGGGGCGGGGCCTGGTTCAGGGGCGGGGCCTGGTTCAGAGGCGGGGCCTGGTTCCGTGCTGGCCCAGGCCCCGCCCAGTTAGGCGAATGGATCTAAGGAAACTTTCTCTGGGGCGACTGTGAGCGTCGGTTCAGGTGCTGTGAGAATGCTCGCCCAGAGCTCCCTGTAGTGTGGGGGCCTGGCCGCCCCCGGGCCGCTGCGCTGGGGCTATCGGTGTTCGGGGCCTCTCCGGGCACTCCCCCCGCCCCCCACCAGGGGATGTTCCCCGGCTGCACCCACCGTCTGCAGTCCAGACCTGCAGGTTGCCCCGCAGCCCTCCCGCTACATGCGCCACATGCGCCGTCCGCGCGGTCTTTTTGCCAGCCCCGCCCCGTCCCCCACCTGGTGCAGGCCATGCCGCCGGCCAGCCGCCCGGGCTTCCCCTGCTCTTCCCCGACCGCTTGTGTCTCTCCGGCCTTCTCTCCCACAGCAGGGCAGGATGGCCTCCCAGGGCTGACCTCATTCAGTCCTCCCCCAAGCCCCATGAGGTAGGTACTGTCACGCCATTTTGCAGAAAAGTAAAACGAGGCACGCAAGCTTGGGAGCGTGGGTCTCAGGTCATACAGCCACGTGCGACCCGCGCGAAGTGCCGACCTGAGCTGGTGAGGACCGGCGTCTCACGCAGGGCCCTCATTGCTCGCGCCCTGTCCTTAGCCATTGCTCTCAGAACAGCACCCAGACTCCCAGCCAGGCCTGTGAGGCCCTGCGTGTTTTGTCCCCATGCGCCCTTCCGCTCTCCTGTCCCCTGCTCTTCCCTCGTCTAGTATGGCTGTCTCAGTGTGTTCCTGCCTCAGGAGTTCTCAGCAGGGACAGTACTGCCACTAGGGAAGGGAGTGCTGGTCACTGATGGGGATGCTGCTAGTTTCTGTGACTGGGGGGTGCTGCTAGTTACTATGAGTGGGGGGCTTTGCTAGTTGCTCTGACGTGGGGCAGCATCACAAACCACTTCTGGGGGTGGGGGAGGCGTTACCATCTGCAGTGGGGAGAGGTATTGCTAATTTACTGAAAGGGGGTTGGAGGGAGCATTGCTAGTTACTGACGGGGGAGGGGCTGCCACGTGCATTTAGTGTTCTGGGGGTCAGAGATCCTGCCCATCTAATGTGTGGGGGACAGTTTTTCCTAAGAAGCCCCAGCTTCTGGTAGCACCCCAGTTCGGAAGCACAGCTCCCAGGGCCCCGGCAGTCTCTGGCTGGTCCTTTGGCTCCACCTGCTTTTCCCAGCCGTCAGGTGAGGGTGCCTGTCCTCAGAGAACTGCCTTCCCTGCCAGTCTGCCCTCAGTGCCCCCACGGGGTCACCGGTCCCCCTCCCCTAGAGCACGAGGTCCTGCTGCTTGGCTTGGCAGGTCTCGTGGGGTGGGAGCCCTGAGAGGAGGTGGCCACGTGCGGTGTCCTGGTGCCCAACCCAGCACCCACCTCTGGATCACGGCAGGGGGCAGGGGGAGCCGGGTCTGCTTTGAAACAGTAAAACGCTTCATGATTCTTAACTGTCCACAGGAAAACATGAGTGATTCGTAATTTAATCTCTGTGTATAAAGAGCCATGTAGCCCTTTTGAAAAAGTCTGGCTTTTGATCTGTTGAAAATTGTTCCTTTAATCTTAGGTGTCTTCTGTTTATGAAGCAAGATGCACGGGAGAGAGAAGTTCTGGAGCGAGATCCAACCGCGCCCGCAGAAGGGCGTCCTCCAGCGCCGGCTCCGACCCCGGGGACCCAGGCTCGGACGGCGGCGGCGGCTGGGCCGAGCCCGGCGAGGAGGGCCTCTTTTCTCGAACTCATCTCTAAACCTGCAGAGTAGTGCAAATTATTTTTTAAAAGCGAAATGTGATGGGAAATGACCCTTTTGTGAGGCCTGTTAATCTAACACAACACCTTAGGTTTCTTCTCAATTAGCTGACTCAGATCAGTGCTTCTTTCTCTCCTTGCTGATTTTAGAGTTGAGGACAGCTATCCTGTTGAAGATTTTTTTTCCAAGCTGTTAAATTCTTGGCTCTTTGAAATAGACTAGATTGTGTTGTCAAATCAAGAATGGGTGTGCATGTGCTTGTCCTAGAAGTGTCACTGCTCCCTGCATCTTAGCTGCGCCTCCTCACCGCAGCTGGGTCCCTGTCACCTTGTTCGCACTGCGGTGCCAGCAGCCACTTCCGCTCTTCACCCTGTAGCTTTGGAACACTTAGGCTTTACTCTCTAGGAACTGGGGTAGAAGTGCTTCCCCTGCAGTGGCTCAGGCCTTCCCGAGGGCCAGAGGGGAGCACGGGGGACGACCCTGAGGTCCCCGTTCAGTACAACCTCGCGTCCGTCGCAAGGAGGAACCACAAGGGCGTGCTTTTAGAGACTTACAAAATACTGTGTTTTCTATCTTAGGATGTTCCCCCTGAAATATCATGGAAGGTACTATGGTTTGTGACTTTATTGCTAACTGGAGAAGCCAAGGATTTGGGGTGTAGGGTGGTACATGAGGCACAGCGGGGTAAGAGCACCCCCCAGCCTGTTCTTACGTTGCAGTTCATTTACACCGAAACATCTTCCAGGGCTGTTTGTGGCAAGTTTTACACTATTTACTGAGGAGCTTAGTTGAAAATTTTGTTTTTCTTGTGACCTACATTGAAGTGAAGCCCCTCGAACTCAAAATTGTAAACGTTTGACATGCAGTAAAGGCCACCTCGTCACTCCAAAGAAACCTTGTCCGCTGCATTCAGCTACCCTTGTGGCTCTGGTGTAGGATAGCTTAGATTGCATTCTGTGTTTGAGAGAATGTTCTGGGCACGTTCCGTGTGTGGCGGGGTGGGGGCGGGCAGAGTAACGATTTCTCCCACACCTGTGTGACTGCCCCGTGGGAACCTGGGGGCAGCGTGTCTCGTGCAAGTCCTGTTGTTCGTGGCGATCACCTCTGCGGGCTTTCACGCTGCCACGCGTCAGGAGGGGCACTATTTGCGAAGCCTAAACATTTTTAATTGATTTCCTTTTTAACCAACTCATTTAAAAAAAAAAAAAACCTAATGCGTGAAATCAGCGTAGCATGTCTGTAGCGTCGAGAACAGCAGAGAAGTCTGACAGACGAGGCGGCTTGCACACTGGTTTTGGTGGCAGACAGCATGCAGAGGTCGCTCGCTGGGGGCCGAACTGGCCGGGAAACGCGTGACCTGCTGTGAGCGCTGGGCGTTGCTGCCTCTCTTAGTCGATGGCTCAGAAAACTCCCTCCGAGGCCGCGGGGTCCCCGGGTTCAGTGTGTAACTGCTGTGAGACCCCATGGCCGCTGGGCGCGATCTCACCACAGGTCAGGGTTCGTTTTTATGCAGCACATCTTTTGACACTTTAAAGTGGGTTTGTGTGTGTGCGCGTGTGTGCATGTGTGTGTGTAAGACTTTATGTTGCTGTTATTTATTTACAGACTTTATAAGGTTTTATGTATTTTTCTTTCTTCCGGAGCTTCCTAATAATTGATTAGCATCTGCACTGAAATATAATTTAACAGCAAAGGCAAAAAAGAATTGGAAGTTGTAAATTCCTAAAAATCAGTACAGTGACGATCATCCTAGAAATCGTTGCTTATGTAGCAGAGACCAAATAAATAATATCTCGAACACAACCTTTAGCCCAGTTGATTTGGAACAGTTGCTTTTGATCAAGAAAGGGCTCCAGGGGATGGCAGTACAGACTCCCCCACACACGACGGGGGGACAGCTGCGCCGTCCACGGCCCACGCGGAGTGGGCATGGATTACAAACGGGCGAGGGGGTTAACAGATTATGTATTTATTTGTGTCCATAGCGAAGCGGCTGAGGCCCAGAGGCTTGCGGCAACAGAGGTGAACGTGTGGTTTTTAGTTTTGTGAATGGATGATCACAAAGAAAAAGCATTTTTAAAAAGTTGGCAAAACGCTGAAACGCACTGTGGTATGAAGCGCATTGCATATCCATAGCACTGAAGTGTCAGTTCCCATTCTTGGGCTGAGATTTTTTTTCCCGTGGTTGTATTGTTCTGATTTCACGTACACCAGAGTAACTGATTTTTTGTTTTCTTGTGGAGTTAACACCAAATAAAAACTTAGAAAACCAGTTGGTTGTCTTTATTTATCATAGCGAAGACCCCCCCAGCCTCCTCTTCCTTACGTGCGCGTGGGAGACGGCGCCCAGGTGACAGCATCCCCTGGGAAAGCTAATCCTCATCCGGGCACTGCCAGAAACGTTGGCACGCCGCTCGGCTGGAGGAGAGAGCGAGCGCAGCCCGCTGAGGACTGAGCTCACTTCGTCCAGTCCCCCGCCCCAGCTGCTGCCTGAACCCGCAGAGAGCACAGCGTTCTGTCCCCAGAGGGTGGGCCAAGTGTTCTTGTTCCGGAAAAAGTCTGAATACTGTGTATATTAACACGTCGTCCGCCGTAGGAAAGGGACCAGTGCGCTTCGAGAGAAATGTAAAGGAAGACGTCATCTGCCCTTCCATCCCCCTGAGATGCGCCTCTGACATTCGTGCAAGACACGTGGAGCCAGCCGAGCGCGTGTACAAACATACACAGAAATGTGCATTAAAGGGCTGCACCATGCCCGCTTCTGTAACTTCAGAAGTAGGTCCGTCACGCCCTGACGTAGACGCGACAGGTTCCCGTCGGTCGGTGGCGTTGCGCTCCGCTTCAGCGTGCTGAGCTGGGGCTCCGTGCACGGTCGCTGTCCTGGGGGAAACGGCCTGTGTAGGGCCTGCTGCCGCCCACGCTGAGGTCGCCAGCAGGGCGCGGGGCAGGGGTCCCTCGGGGCCTGTGTTCGGTGCCGGACTGATTCCGCGGCGTGCCTCAGGCGAGGACTTGTTTTGGGGTTAGCCTTTGCTTTTCGGCTGGGCAGAGGGGATGTGGGTTCAGTACAGAAGGATTTCAGTTGTGTTCTCTCCATTTTTTTAAATTTATGGTTTCTGGAACGTGCAGCAAGTTTTTAAATGCTTTCTCCATCTTAAGAACATACGAAGTATCCTCCCGTGTTATTCCGGAAACCATATCCTTCGTGGAGAGGTCATCTTCATGTGTGTTTGACACGAAGTGAGGCTCGAGGATTCCGCCTCGTTTCCCCCCAGCTAGTTGGCCAGCAGCCCAGCGCCAGTTCTTAGAAAGCCCTGACCTGCCACGATGCCAGGCGATACCTGTATTGGGCTCTCAGCCTGGAACCCGGGTCCGACTGCTCGTTGGCTCTGTGACTTTGGGAAAGTAAGTCAAGTGCCGAAGGCAGTGCCTCATGCCTTACGCCTTCTGAGTGACCAGCCCGTGGGCATCGTCACAGCACCTGTCCTGGGTTTGGCAGCAGTGCCCGGGTGAGTGGGGAGGTGGCACAGACGCCACCTTCCTGGAGGCCCCTGAGGCAGGACTGGAGGGTGTCAGCATAACGGGGCAGCCCCTGTCCGGGCGCAGCAGGTCATCGACGACGGCCTTTTCCGTCGGCGCACTCGTCACCTAGGTGTGCGCTGGCGGCCGCGCTGGCCACACACCCCCTCTTTGCTGTGGTTCTTGCAATACTGTCGGCGCGATTGCTTCACAGGTGCCCACGGCTGTGAGAGCCGGGTGGGATGCCGTGTGCACATTAGCTACCCAGAAACGGGGTCCGGCCTGTTACTGTCCCCAGGAAGGCTGACATCACGGCCAAGTGCTTTTTGAACAACCGAGGGATGTAAAAGCTCTTTAGGTAGAGGGCTCAGTCCACCGCTTCTGCCACTGTAGGTGCCACCCCTGGCAGGCTCCGGGCACATAGGGTAAGCGTGGCCTGCGTCTGCACGGTGTCCAGGGACGGAAGGGAGGGCCCAGCCCCGGCTTCTCCTGAACGCAGCGGGCGGAGGGCGCCCCGGGCCAGGCGCCGTTGGAGCACAGACCTGGCAGTGAGCTGCGGCTCCGGAGGCCGTCGCTGGCCCGGACTCGCTGGTGTGCTCGTAATAGCGTTTTCAGGAACCACCGCCTCACTCTACCCGTCTAGCAATGACTGGTGATGACGTCACCACCTAACGTGGATGGTGTCAGTGTTGTCTGCCGGTAACAGACACAGCTGACACGGGGCTCACGTGTCATCCTAAGCCTGACCCTGTGAATTTTGCACAGAGGCCACTGAAGCCCGGTGAGACATTAAGCTTTCGCTAAGGCCTCACGTCTAGTGAAAGGCGGAGCCAGGATTCTACCTGGCAGCGTGACGACAGCGCCCTCGGACATGCCCCACGTCACCTTGCCAAAGTCCCGCTAACTATGAGAAGTATGCAGCGGGCTCTGGAGACCGCTTCTGGGGAGCAATCTTTTCCAGCCGCCGAGCGTCGGTCTCCGGGCGTAAAGGAGACGACGGGACCTCTCAGGGCTGGTGGCGAAGGCAGAAGCCACGCAGACGTGAGTGCTGTCAGTGAGACGCAGCCCTGCCCTGGGCGGGGCAAGCGCAAGAGCAGGACACGCGAAGACGTTGCGACGCCCCAGTCCAGTGACTCCAGAGGACCACGTCCGCAGGCTGCCCCTAACCCTAACCCTAACCCTAACCCTCCCCGCCCCCACACCCGGTGGTAGCAGAGGCCCTGGCCTCGGGCTGGTCCTGCAGAGGCCCGCTCCCCTGGGTGCTGACCATGGCCACATGGCCATCCTGGCCAGCCTAGTCCTACCCTCACCCTGAAGTGAGGTCACACTATCCCGGTGCTAGTCAGGACAGGACAGAGGCCCACGGGGACCAAGCCAAGGGGCCGAGTGGTGTGGGGCTGGGCCCTGCGTCGGTCACTCACCCACACAGTAGCCTGTGCCTATGTCAGTGGCCACCCCTGGGAAGAGGCAGGCTGGGGTCTGGCCTTCCCTTGTCTTCCCTGGGGACAGGCATGTAGCCTGTTGCAGCTCAGACGTGGCCTGCTGCTTCCTGTCACAGTCCAAGGGATTATTTGGGGCACCAGGGCTGGGGAGGCCTGCTTGGCCTGCTACCCCCATAGGCCCTGGCTCCCCCATAGGCCCTGCTACCCCAGCCTGCAGCAGATGCGGGTGATGGCCCCCAGCTTCCAGACTGTTGAGAGAGCTAGATGGGTGCACACCGAACGCTGGCCCTCGTGCCCAGGACGCGTGCTGGGCGCTAGGTGCAGGCAGTATGAAGAGCCCACTGTATGACCCTGACTCAGCCGCTCCCTGACTGGAAGGGGGACACCACCTGCTCCCTCCCACAACTGAGCCAAGCCAGGTGGTGATGGATGAGCTCCCAAGGACACCTCGGCCTCCCCTCCCTGCTCCTTCCCTTCTGCACACACTTCCCCGTGCCCCCACGTGCCCCCGAGTCCTGGGGCAGGGTCAGCAGGCTGGGTCAGGCCCCCACATCCCGGGCCCCTGCTCTGACTCAGCTGCCGTGGCTGGCACGTATCTACTGCATGCCTGCCACCTCGGTCCTTCCAGCCACTGGAGACGCCATGCCGAGGCTCGCTCAGCAAGTCCAAGGGCCTTGCACCGGCGTGCCCGCCAGCCGTGGTGAGCTGCGCCTGCTGTCACTGGTCACTTCCAAGGCCAGGGCCCGCCTTCACACCACGGTGGCCGCTTCTCACTGCCCCTTCCCCTCCACCTCCAGACCCTGGGCAGAGGGAAGAGCCTCCAGAGGAAGCAGAACTGACTGCAGCACTGGGCTCAGGTCGCTCGGGGCTCACGCAGTCCTGCTGCAAGCTTGGCCTGGGGGGTGGCTGCAGCCTGGGAGCCCTGAACCCCGGCTCTCAGAGGGCCTCCGGCACGTCCAGGCCCTCTGACCCGACACACGGCACGTCTGCTGTGGCTCTGTCCTGACCAGTTCCTGCTGGTTACGAATGTCAGATGTGACATTCCCACAGCGTCCTCCCACAAACTGCAGGCTGCAAGCCAGCGATAACAGGAGCCACCCAACAACGGCGGCTCCACCTCCGGGTCCCCTGACAAGCCGGGGGAGCCTGTGATCTCCCCTCGGGCTCACCCCAGCCCCTACTGATCAGACCCGTGGGCTCAGGTCGCTCGGGGCTCACGCAGTCCTGCTGCAAGCTTGGCCTGGGGGGGTGGCTGAGCCTGGGAGCCCTGAACCCCGGCTCTCAGAGGGCCTCCGGCACGTCCAGGCCCTCTGACCCGACACACGGCATGTCTGCTGTGGCTCTGTCCTGACCAGTTCCTGCTGGTTACGAATGTCAGACGTGACCACAGCGTCCTCCCACAAACTGCAGGCTGCAAGCCAGCGATAACAGGAGCCACCCAACAACGGCGGCTCCACCTCCGGGTCCCCTGACAAGCCGGGGGAGCCTGTGATCTCCCCTCGGGCTCACTCCAGCCCCTACTGATCAGACCCAGGAACTGCTTTGGTTAGGGCCCCTGCGGGGTGACACAGTGGCAAACCCTGGCTCTTAGCTATGGGGCTGCACCTGTGCTGGACCCACACACAGTAGTCTGTGCCTGTGTCAGGGCCTCCCCCTGGGAACCTAAAATTGGCTGGCAGTCAGCCTTGCTGGCAGCCTCATTTCATCCGCATACAGCCACCAGGGTGCTGGGTGAGTCCGCCTCTTCTGTGTGGTCAGATGACGCTTCTGGAACCCTCAACCCCCTGCCTCTCCTGCTTCTGCAGACACCACCCGTACCTGCTCCTCCCTGTCCCGAGCTGGGGAGCAAGTGGAGAGACCTGGGCCTCTATGCGACTTTCTCACATGGAACTCGGGTCCCCTGCTCACAAATGCTTCTCGCGGGCTTGGCGGCATTGCACTCGGGAGGGTGTTTTGTTACCTGGATAAGGCTGGTTAGCAGTGGAACCTTGCTGTGACCTCGCTGAGTCATCACATTGGAAATGGGGACAGCAGGTTGGGTTTTGGGGGGGCCAGGGTGTCTTCATATTGGCATGAAACTGCTAATTAGGAGGAAAAAGGGTCTCGGCCTTGGTTGCAAATAGGGGTTGTAAACATTCATTTATTTATTCATCAAACATATGAAAAGCCTACTATGTGCTGGGTCCTAAACCTGTTGCTGATAATAAATTCTATTTTTCTAAATCAATGACACTGCCTCCTCGGCCCCAGTTCTCTGGCAAGAATGATATCACCATTTCCCTTTTCGTCGCTCCTAGATAAGCTTCAGGAGGTC